CAGGACAGGGGGATGGCCCCGCAGCACTCTCCTATATTACTCAGCCAATTGCACTGTTATTAGCAAATAATCTACTTGGCAAAATCGGGATTCCATCAGCTCTGCAGCTCATCAGCACATCGCTCATCCCCTGTATTGGGAACACATCCACCCCCCCCTCCCAGGAGTTACGCTTTGTAACAGGAATGATTAAACAGGGAGCTGATGGCCACTCTTACAGCTCAGCACACCGCTATCCCTAGCCTGATTCTGCAAACACCTGTGCACCAGAGCAACTAATTACGGGAGTTAGGATGGGACAGCTCATGCAAGGGAAGTTGTGGGATAGACCCTTGTTCCTTTAGATTGCAGGGGAGTGGCCTCGCAGGTACTCTTCATTCTGGCTATGTCTACATAGCAATCAGGAGGTGTCATTGCAGCACAGGCAGACAGACCTGATCTAGCTAGCTTGGGTACTGACAGCAGTGAAGCCAGGACAGCAGAGGCTGCCTGCCTGGGAAGGTACCCAGGGTCCCATGCTGAAGTCCGTGCTGCCACAGCTTCACTGCTATTGGTACTCCCGCGAGCTAGATGAAAGCTGCCTCGGGTGTGTCTATACATGCTGCAGTCACAACCCCGATTGCAGTGCAGACGTACCCTCAGCCTTTGGGTTAGTTGGTGCACTTTTTTCAATCCCTGGGCACAACCTTTCAGAAAGCCGTATCGGGAGCTGAAATGGTCTATGCTGTACCTCAGGCAGAAAGCCGACATCGCTCGGGGCTCAGCAGGGAAGGAGAGCACCGAATGGAACAGACCCCAAACACATTGCTCACCCTGTCTGCGGAGGGCCCCGATGCACTCTCAGTTATACCAGCATTTAGCTTCACTAACTTGACTCCTGATTGTTACAAAGAATTTGACTCAAAATAAGGCCCAGATCCACTGTCCCCCTATGCTTCATTCCCTACGTATCCTGCTTCATTCCCTGTGCAGGGGTCCTGAGGAATTAATGGCATGTGGTTATGCAATTAAAGTCTTTATCATAACGGGAAGAGTTAAGGAAGCAGGGACAACCTTTACAATGACATTTCCTGACTGCTGAGGCCTCACTTTACAATCTTAACATCCTCTGAATAGATTTTCATTTAGTCAATTTCCTAGCTCTCTGCCCCCAAAGGACACCCTCCGCCCCATCCCGATCCCACCCACACAAAGAAGCCGACTGTGTAGAGGGATTTGCGAGTGAGCAGCAGGTGATTCTGCTTAGCACAGGATGTGCATTCACCATCGAAGGACATTTACATTCTGGGAATCATGGCACAATTCAAAAAGAGGACGATCTTGGTTAAAGCACTAGCCTAGGACTCCAAAAACCTGGGCACAATTCCTGGCTCTGCCACAGACTGAATGACCTTGGGAAAGTCACTTAGACCCTGATCCTGATCCATTGAAGTCAATGGGAGCTTTCTCAGTGAGTTCAATGAGCACAGGCTCAAGCCTTCAATCTCTTGGCTTAACTTTAAACACGTGTTTAAATTCTTTGCAGAATAAGGGCTTTGTGCCTTCATTCCACATGTACACAATAGGAATAATACTCCTTCCTCTCTCCTCTGCCTGTTTTGTCTGTATGGACTATAAGCTCATGGGAGCCAAAACCGCCATGTACTTTATGCAGCACCTAGCACAACACGGCTTTGATCTCAATTGCTGCCTCTAGGTGGCACCGTAATACAAATAAGAGCTGCATCTCATTCGGCACACGTTCACATCACGCTGCCTTATTCCATCCGCACCTTCCAAGACCTAAGAGTTCACCCCGCTTTGCAATGCACAGGGCCAAGAGAGGACAACTGTCAGACCACCCTTGTCATGAAGAGATTGCCATGCATGCGTCATGTGTATTTTCAATGCTTTATAATTGAGCCAAATCAAAATGGATTTTCATCACACCTCTGAAAGGCACAAGTCAGACCTAGGGACTCTCCCCAGGTCGAATTTCACTTTTCGATCCCAACCTGCTGATGTGCCAACACTGTTCACGTTACAGCCTCTTAAAAACAAGGATCAAATTGTATAATTTTTCCATGACTCAGAAACAGCTGAACCATTTTTGCCCAAACTTTCAACCACAATAAAAATCACCTTTGGGCAGAGAGTGAATGGCTGAGGACAGCATCAGCCCGTCAGAATGGAAAGGCTTACACTACAGGAGCGGCTCTGAGCTGCACACTCACACACTCCCACCGCCACACAACCCTGACATGGAAACTTGTCTCCACCACCAAGACCCGCTCCCCCACCTCCACCGATCTATTACTGTAGGGTGGCTTGCAGGAATCAAGCTTGGCTTTGCAGGATCTCTCAAGACAGCTGGTAGTGAGCAGACCAGTATGTTATTGTGGGGTGACCAATGACCTCCAGGCTGCAAAGACTGCCATTTATTATTGTAGGGTTGGTTGTAAACACTGGGGTTGGTGGCAGCTTTTTTAAGATTAAAATGCAACTTAAAAAAAAAAGATCCACAGAAAGGAAGACACAGCCTTTGCAAACAGAGAAAGACCCTCCAGAAGGGTTGCTGTACGGGCCTGACCCCAGAAGGGGGGTCTCTTTAATAGTGTTGCTGCTACGATGGCCAAACCTGTAATGGTTGGAGACCTACAAACCTGCCTAGAAGAAGAATAAAAAAAGAACAACAATGTCAAGCAATCTATTTCTGTCCCAGCTCTATTGTACAGTATTTCATTTGGAACAGATGGGATTGCCCTCCCTCCCCCACAGGCTGGAAAGATTCAGGCTCAGCTTAGATTTGGGGGGGGGGGAATTTGGGGGGGGCTAGAGGGAAATAAAACAGATGGAAAATATATGAATTCCCTCTCTATATTTCCAGCTAAATATGAAAAATGGAAGCTGACACACAGCAAAAAAAGCCATTAAAATGGAAATGATGAAGGGTGGGAAGCACTGCAGCAGATACCTCCCCCAGGCCTGCGGGAGATGCCGCAGCTCAAAGCGCCCCCTCGGCCTCTCTCGCCCACACCCAGCGCCACCGCTGGCAGCACCACGCAGGCAGGGCACACCGGCCACCAGCTCCGGGCCGCAGGTTCAGATTAAAACCTTACTGCTCTGAAAAGCGACTCCAGCCACTCCACTGGCAGTCAGGAGAGATGGGCTAAGGAGGCGTCTTGCCTCAAATGCCTGGCCTGGCCCGCGCCCGGCGCCATGCACCCTCTGCCTACAGCACGCGCAGGGGAGCGAGCAGGCAGGGAGACACGCACACAGAGACAGGCAGAGAGATGCACACACACAGGTGCGCACTCAGAGTCAGGCAGGGTCACGCACAACACAAAGCAGACACAAGCATGCACACACTTAGGTGTGCACAGCGAGGCCTGGACAGCTCTCACCCACCGAGCGATCAGCTCCTCACCCTGCCTGTTCTCAAGGCAGACACGGCATTGCTGACACCTCCGCGCACCCTGTAGGACCCTGGCTCTCGCCTCCTCACTCCCAACTGGAGTCCCAACCCCGAGCCACCCTCCCGCCCACAGCCTGCATCTGCTGATACCTCCCAGAAGGAGGCACAGAAGGAAACAGCCCTGCTGCTGGAAAGGCTGACGCTGGTGCCGAGCGGTTCTTTTCCCGGGGTCGCTGGCTGTCGGCTGCCCCAGGGTCCCCCGCAGCGGGAAGCAGGACTAGAGGAGAGAGCAGTGCAGGACACTTGCCTCGCAGAAGGCACAGCCAGGGCAGAAGAGAGCCGCATGGGCAGCTGCCTGCGGGGGACTCCTGGGTACCAGGGATACCTGAGCTGTCCCTCACCCATGGCTCCTGAGTGGCTCATCTACGAGCTCAGTTCCTGCCCCTCCCTACACACAGGATGAGGGGCCCTGGCGTCCTCGCTGCCTGTGAGATGCTCCCAGAAAGGGGCCACGGGCAAGGCCAGCACTCTCCGGGGGCAGCCGCCAGGACACAGGGGGAGATGTGGCTGCCCCTGCAGAGAGCAGAGCTCATGCTGGGGTGGAGGCTGCAGGCTCTAGCCCGTGGGGGGAGTGGCCCCGTCACAAGGGGACAGCATTGCTCCTTCGAGAAAGAGGCTGATCTTTCTGCTGAGCACAGAGGGCAAGCTGGGGGCAGGATGCTCCTGAAGCAGAGGGCCAGTAGGAATCGCTGGATGAAAACGCATTCAAACCCCAGAGTCCAGAGAGCACGGATACTTGTCCCAGGCCTGGCACAGGTGGGCACAGGCGATCTCGCCTCCCTATGCCTCACCCAGACACCCAGGGGGGCAAGGGCACAGACCTGCTCCCGGGTCTTCAATCAGTGACTGGGGGGGGGGGGGGGGGGTTCCCGCCCCCCCCCCCGGGGGGGGGGGGGGGAGGGGAAGGGCCCGGGGCCGGGGGGGGGGGGGGGGGGGGGGGGGGGGGGGGGTTCAGGCTCCATCTCATCAGAGGGGAATCTGCTGCAAAAGGGCCTGGACTCTGATGGGGGAAACACCCCGGGCGCTAAAGACCCCAAGCCCAAGGTTGTTACCTGCATCACCGGGATCGGGGATAACAGACAGAGCAAAACCAGCCCCTCAGGACAGGGCAACAGCTGGGGAGAGGGAACCTAGGGTAGCCGCAGGGAGTTTGGGTGGCGGGGGAAAAGGGGCGTGGAAAACAGCATTGATATGGCCTGGAGTTAGGAGCATGGTTTGTAGGCAGGGCGTAGGAGAGGACCCATGGCGGCCCCAGGCTATGGAGCCTGGGTGGAAGTCATGGATCCGGGGTGGGAGGGGAGTTCAGATAAGGCAGCTGCAGCAGAGGGGACCTGTTGCAGCCCTAGGGCGGCGGTGTGAATAGAAGCCCCAAGGCAAGAGAGCGTGAAAAGCAGCTGGCACAAGGGGATCTGCATGGCCCCAGGGAGGGGAGGGAAGGGGAGGGGATGGAGCCCCGGTAAGGGGTTCAGAAGGCAGCTGCAGCAGGGGGACCTGTCACGGCCCCGCAAAGGGAAGACGTTATGTGCACTCGCGTTTCAGTACTCACAGGCTGGCCTCAGAAGCCAGGTGGCCGCAGCTGCCTGGGGAGACGTGTAGATGATGCTCCAGGCTGGCGGAGGTGGACGATCCCTCCTGGTGCAGGCGGGCAAAAGCCCCAGTCCCAGAAGCACACTAGCCTTCACCAATTCCTACCACTGCCGTTAACACAAGCTACACTTCTATCGGGGACTCCTCTACTTTTGCAGCCCCCTCTGTCTCGTCTTTGCTGAAATAAAAAGAAACAAGAGATTCTTTTCATGGAAACTGCAAGGCAGCACGTGGCTGCGTAAGCTCCTGGCCAGCAGAGTCATCACATCGGTAGAGGCCGAGACACCAGTACCACTGACCCATGCAGCCACCTCTGGGGTGGAATGTGGCAGCTGATTAACAGCACCCAGTAGCCCTACACTACAGTTTGGGGCAAGGAAGGAAGAGACTGTATCTGTTTTAAACTGCAGGGGGATCTAGGGAGGCAGGGAGAAACTATCCCAGCTGCAGTCTGGCCAGGACACCTGGACTAAACACACCGCTCTTGGGGAAAGTGCCATGGGATCTTTAACAGCCAGAAGGAGTCAGAACTTAGTTAGCCTGCCATGCAAAAGACAGCCCTGTGCCAACAGAGCATCCACGGGCACCATGCAGGAGCTGTTCAGCATGGACTCCAACGCGATTTCCTGCGGCACAGCGCTCCGGAGGGAAGGGGGTGAGCCACCTACTGAGTTGCTAGCGAGCAGCAACCCCAGGCCACAGCCAGTCCAGGGAAAGAAGGGAGGATGTAACACTGTAGGGCTGGGGGAATGGAATCTGGAGTCCCATCTCTGTGGAGACGTTGAGATGCCAGGTCTGAACACGCACTGGTCCGGCTTCTCTCTGGGACTCGGAACGGGGCTAACTCACTGACAGCAGATCATGTGCCATTAAAATGCCAGTGCCCAAAGCACCACCTGTCAGCTCTCAAAGATGCTCCTGTTTGCCCCCTGCCGTGGACACAGCTGGGTGAAGAAGAGCCCCGGAAGCCAGCAGCAATACCACAAACAAGTGGGCAGCCAAGCGGGCGACCGCCCCAGTCCCCTCCACAGCAGCACTGGGCTCCCGTGACCAGCTCCCAGCCAGAGCCAGGCCTCCCAATATCCCAAAGCAGGTGTCCCCCGGCACTGCCAACACATCTCTTGCAGCCTTTTCTCTGCACTCCATCCATCAGCTCAGTCCCTTCTCTCTCTCCCCACACCCACTCACACCATCCGCAAGTTCTCACCCTACCCAAGAAGAGACTGATCCAGTGGTTACGACAGAAGACTCCTGAGTTCCATTCCCAGCTCTCCCACTGACTCACTGTGCGACCGTGGGCAAGTCACTGTCCTGCTCCGTGCCTCAGTTTCCCCATTGATAAAATGGGGATAACGATTGTGACCTTACCTCATTGTGGGGCTTCAACTCCTCACTCCATGTAAAGCACATGGGGAACCCCAGGAAGAATGGGCTGAATCTCACTCTCCTCCCCCCTTGTTCTGCCCCAGTCAGAAGTGAGTGGGATGGGGAGTGGAGGGGGAATTGGCCTACTCTCCGGATGGGGATTTGTATCAGGGTTTTAATGTTTTGCACAGCGCCATGATTTCGGCAGTCAGCATTCGACAAGGCCCTGCGGACAGGCCCAGGGGGGAATGGTTCACCTTGGGAGTGAACTGGCCTTCCCAAGGGAGCCTTGGCACTGGGAAGCCCTTTCTGCAATGGGAACTCGTGGCCTCCTGAAAGCAGCTGCTGAGGAGACACCGTGCAGCTCTCCACGGCAATGGCTGTGAAATCACACGTGAGGTCCTCTTCCTACACACACACCAGCCCTACTTCTCCCATGCAGAAGGAATTTATACCAAGGCAGAGACACCAGAAAGAATAACAGCCACGAAGGCAAAAAAAAACAAGCCCAAAACCAACACTAGAATCCCAGCCAGAAAACCCGGGGGGCGAGTCTAGAAACCCAGCCTCAAGATCTTACTTTTCGGAAGGAGCAATCGTGGGGATCCTGCACCAGAAGAATTCACCGAAGATGGAACCAAATGAAGCCCTGTGTTTCTGCCCCCTGAAGGTGTTTTCATTCCCATTTCCTTTCCTGATCAAAACCGACAAAAGCCCCAAAACAAACTCCCTCCCCCTCTCATGCGCCCACCTCCTCCTTGACAGCTGGGGGCATTCCCAGCCCCTGGGCAAGGCAGCCCCTGGTCTTCAGCAGCTCCCCTACAAGGGGCGAGGGGACCCTGTCACCCACCCTCCCTCCCCTACTTCTGGAGGCCACCACCACAAGTGTACCATACACGATCAGGAAAGCCCCAAAGCCAGAGCCCATCTCCTTGGGCAGCCTTGAGCACGTACGTGAGCCCGCTGCCAGCATACTGGCTCTTCAAGCCCTTGCCAGAGCTCTCCAGCACCTCTGGGGAGAGTTTTTAAAAACAAACACACACAGGGCAGCTCTGGGGGGGATCACAGCCCAGACTGGAGGCCTGACCCATCCCTAACAGCCACAGCACAAACACAAGCTAGCGAGAAAACTCACCGGCTGCAGATGGCCCATCAGGACTAGGACAAGGCACTGGTTTTGTCTGCCTTGGGCACTCCCATGGCCCCCCATCACTGAGCACCTCACAAGCATTAATGGATGTGTTCTCACACCCCCTGCGAGGCAGGGCCAGGCTACTATCACCCTCCCTGCTGTACAGAGGGGAATATAGGCACAAAGAGGCTCAAGACCACCCAGGGAGTCTGTGGCAGTGCCAGGAATCAAACTGGTGTCTCTCAAGTCCCAGGCTGGCCCCCTCACCACCGGGCCATGCTCCTGCTCCAGCCACTAACGCCCCTTTGGCAGGCAGAGGCCCACATTCCCAGGGCGGCGTGAGGCACCCAGGCTGGGACAGCTGCAGATCAGGACTGAAGGACTCTGGAGGAGCTTGCACAGCAGTGCCCACATTACACCCATCACTGATGGTTGTGTTAATCCGGAGTCACACCAGCACTGACACCTCTAATTCCAGAGCCTTAGAAGAGCTGCCCTCTCCATGTGCACACCTCGCAAATCACTGAGAGACTAAGAGCGCCCTCTAGAGCGGGAGCCAAAGCTTCCCTCTTTGGATGAGTGGGGCCTAGCGCAACAGGGCCCCGCTACGGACTCCGGCTTCCTGTAATACAGGAACGGGAATGCGTGCTGTGCAGAAGACAGGCTCCCAGCCATCTCCAGGATGACTTGTGACTCTTACAATGTGCGAGTGACCAGACCCCCTCCCACCCCGTCAGCACCGTTTGTCAGGAGAGAAAACAAACACCCACCCCGAGGAGCAAAGGGGACATGAGACAATAAGGTACAATTGAGGTGAAGGGCCTCCCTTACAACGTGTATATGGAAAATTGTGTCAGCGCCTGCACTGGGAAAATGTGACTATCCAGCACATTACAATAATCACAGGGTGAAATGGCCAGGTCTCTGCCCACACTGTGTATTAGGAAAATCAAGGCCCAGGGAAACACATGCAGCATGATTCCTGCATTTGCTTCTGACACGTTCAAAAGATGGGGAAAATCTGCAGCCAGAGTTTGAAGCTGGTTAGTTAGAAGAGCTATGGAGGCACACAGGGCAAGAGCGCAGTTCAGGGCCACCATCCTAAGAGCTGACGCAGCTGCGGGGTTTGTAATGCAGAGGCTCGGAGCGCAAGAGACAACTGAATGGCGAGGTCTTGTGTTTAAAATCCATTTACCTGCCGCATCACGCTCTGGGTTGAATTCGCCAGTGTCAAAGCATTGGGGTTGGCAGAAGGAGGCATCCAACAGGTGGTGAATAGTTAGGAGAAAGCAGAGGCCTAACTAGACCCTTTCTACCAGCAGACAGCGCAAGGCTGGCAGGGTGACCTGCAATAGCCACAAGACTCAGCAACCACTGAGGGGAACCTGAGACACCAACAGGCCCCATCAAGAGGATCAGACTAAAATAAAAGCAAAGCCCCAAAGCTCAGAGCATTTGCTCAGCTCCGTCTCAGCTCGAGGCCCCAAAGCCAGACTTGCATGTCCCCTAACAAGATCAGTGCATGGCACCAACAAGCTCTGCTGGAGGCACAGTCCACACCAGGGAAGATTTCTAGAGTGAAAGTGACTTACACCAGGAGAGATGTTACTGGAATTCTGCGCCTTTCCACTCCAGAATGGCAGATCACAAAGCAAGGATCCAAGAACTACTGCGGCCTAATCCCAGACCTCACACCAACTCCCTCTGGCTGCATCTCCACTGGCAAGAGCAGACACCCGGGTACGAACAGGGCAAGGTTGGCTATCACCGTACTGTCAAGGTCAGACAATAGGCCACTAAAAGCACCCAAGCCCTGTCTACACTGGTGCTTCCATCACTGCTACTATCAGCAAAGCTGCCCCCGGTGAGTTATGATTTATAGATTCATTTATAATACAACATGGGTGTAAAACACTCAGAGCAGAATGGCAGAGCAAGGATGTATCACGCTCAAGATGTTATTATTTCTGTGCTACTGTAACAGAGATAAATAATGCCACCACCCCACGCCAACAATGAAGTGTAAAAGCAGCGTCATCAGAGTGCACAGGCCAAAGGGAAACCTTCATTACAGCGCCCTCTCTGCCAAAGCAAACCCTCCAGTTCAGCCCTGTTCTCTCCCTTGAGTGCTCTCTGGAAAGTTCACACACACACACAGGCATTTCTATCACACTCTTGTGAAGGCAAAACTCCTGCCTAAGCCCTGAACATTACAACAACAAAGCCATCTAAGAAGTCCACACCACGTTAGTGTCTAGCTCTGGGCACCAGGCCTCGTTAGCAATTTGGATCACCACAAAAAGTTCCCTGCACGCAGAGTTTTTGTGCTGATTAGGAAAGCGTCTTTTGGACACATCAGATTTCAAATGCTCACTGCTGAGACAGCAGAAATCAGGACAGCGGGTGATGTTATGGTGCCATGTTATCTGGCACCAGGGTGTGTAGACGCAGCACGGTAGTTTTCCACAGCTGCACAGTGCATAGATAGGAACACCAACACGTAGCACTTGTAGAGGCCCTTTTCATCCAGAGAGCTCGAGGTGCTTTACAAAAAGACAAGGAAGTATCCCTGTATCAGTCTTACACGTGGGGAAATTGAGGCACAGAGAAGTTAAATGACTTGCTCAGGTCCCACAGGAAGTTGGTAGCAGAACTGGGATTAGAACCCACGTCCACTGATTCCCAGCTCTGTGACAGACAGAGAGACAGACAGACATTATACACACATGCACTTGTGGGTAATGTTTAGACGTGCTGATGGCTAACTTGCAGTTTGATGTACTTCTGCTATTGAGGAAGATGTGGTTTCGTTTCATTCCAAGTAGTTTTTTCAGACTGTTTTGGGATCAAGATCTGAACAATCCACAGACTTACAATGAAAAGGATTTCTAGAGGGGCTGGATCCAGCAATCAGCAGGAAGCCCTCAATGGATATTCACCAAGGTCCACATGTGGGTGGCTTGGGAAGATCTCCAGCATGGACATGGGGTCTGATTTGTCACAGCCCTACTTTCGAACAGCTTCATGCACTTTGGTGGGTTACTAAGACACATAGAAATCTGTCATTGAGCATAACTCAGAGCGCCCACCTCTGTATGTACTGTCGGTGCTTCCCCTGACATCTGTCCATCTCCAGAGCTAGCAGAGCACAGATGTTGCGCGCAAGGTGTTGTTCTATAGGGGACAAGGAGGACAACTTCACACACCCCCCAATACACACATCCCAAATACACAGAAAACACCCCCAAAATGAGCCCAGGAAGACACACCTGGGGGCAACAGATACTGCCTCCAAACTAACACATCCGTGGGAATGCCGCATTCTCTTTAGAGAAAATAAACAAAGGGCCAAATTTCTCCCTGTAGTAGCTCCACGGAAGTCAAAGGAGTTATCCCAGGAACAGGGTTGGACTAAACTATTTAGGAATATTTGGCCAAAAGCAGAACCAGCCGTAGGGCCAGGCCAGATTCCATCCACCCCCCTCCAATCTTCTAAATCAGGATTTAAAAAACTTTTGCCTCTTCCCCAAAATGTGACTTTTAAGAGGCCTCTCGTTGACCCATCTGCTATCAGTCACAGAGCAACAGTAACAGAGCAGCTCAAACAGGCATTTGAGAAATTGTCCTTCACTTTTCCAAGACAGGCAGCAAATAAAAGTGCAACACTAACCATACAGCAGCATCTGAGAAGGATGTGTGCTCTTGACTACACGCTGTACAATACTTCTGAATGAGCAGCTTTTCTAAAAATAAATCATTTATATCCTAGAATACTTCTCTTAGTCGGACTCTCTTTTAAATATTCTAGAACAGACCGTATGTACAATCCAACATGTACTTAACATTATGCCTGTATAAAGAGTAAATGCATGTACACACGATGCACATAGATAGCACACACTAAATACATGTTCACATATGCACAGACCTCTCTATACAACAGCACGAAAAATTGTGTCAGTTTCTAAAACTGCAGATTCCACACTCTGAAAACACTACATTCCTGCTAAAGTGCAATTGCAAAATATTCCTGGTTAAACATTCCGTTTATAATATTGCTTTCTATCAAAATTTAAAAAAACCACTTTTTCACCACCACCACCCCAAAAAAACGGAATCCCTTTTAACCAACATGCAACATTCACAACCATCTGTTTTTTAAAAAATAGCTACATTCAGATTCAATTAACTTTTCCATTAAATAATCCAAAGGGAGAAAGAGAAAATACAGAGCAGGGTTTTTCATTGCGTTTTTTGTTTTAAAAAGGCTGTTTAAAAAAACTTTTGCATAAGTTAACTTTAAATCTTAACCCCCCTCCCACAGAAATGTTTGACTGTTTCCTTTTTTAAAAGTCCAATTACATTGTATCCCCCCCCGTGCAAGCAAGATCTTTGCAACAACACAAAAACGCAAAGCAAAGAAAAAAACACCCCTTTAGGTGCCCCTTTTGCCTTTCAGCTGCCTCTCCCACATTCTCAGACAGTTTTATTAAAATTTTCAGACAAAAGAAAAACAAAAATGGCAGCCTGGCTTATTTTTAAAACAGGACAGGGACGCCATATTCTGCAGATCTGCAAAAAAAGACAGAAATCTGAGGCTTGGCCACTCAAAAAAACCCAGGCAGCTGCAAAGTGCAAAGGGAAAGCTCCATTTGCAATCAGTTTATTTGCATTAAGCCCCATGAATCATTGTTTACCGGAGAATTGCACCAAAGGGGTTTTTTGAATAACCCGGCTTTAAAAAAAAAAAAAAAGCAGACACTTCCTATACCAACAATCATGCTCCCTTTGCAAATTGCAATCCAGCCAGCGATCCGTCTGCAAGGAAGAAAATGGGCTCCCCCCTTTAGCTTCCTCTCTTCCTCCTCCTCCTCATCAACCCGCCCAGGCTTTAGTGCATTGGGGGGCACTGAAAAGACAGAGCCCCCCACGCAGCCGACACTCATCGGGATCAAATGCATGCATCAGATTAAAAAAAAGAGGGGGGGGGAAAGCCCCTAAAACCCTCCTCTCGCCAGACTCCAGCAGCCGGAGCCCGAACCCAGCAGCGCTCGCTGGAAACTGACATGCGATTGCAATTTGCAAAGGAGACCAAGAGCGACAGAAAACTACATGCAACTTTTTCTTGCGACCCCATCTTTAAAAAAATCCCCCCTCTCTTTGCGGCTCCCCCTGCCATGCTCCTTTCTTTGCTGGGAGCAGGGAGCCCCCCCCACCCCCACCCCCACGGCTCTCCTGGGGGGAGGGTTGTTGCATACAGACCTTGGGTTGCCTTAACTGCAGGTTTTTTGGATTTTGTTTTGTTTTTTGGCAAATAGACATAAAAAAAAAAAAGAAACCCCCTGTCCCCAGCCCACCCCCCGCCCCAAAGCCGAGCTTGGGATGGTCTTTCTGGCTTTGCTGTGTGTTAAAGGCTTAGTTCAAACCTTCCGGGTCGCCTGCTGTTCACTTCTGGGTTCTGCAAACACCACTAGAGCCGAGGCGGTAGGAAGTGCATGAACCTCCTCGGGAAGGGAGCTTTCGGGGGGTCCTTTTCCTCCTCCCTCTTTGTGGTGCCTGGGAACCTCCTTGGCTCCCCCTCCCCCCCATCCCTCCTTCCGGAGTCTGGAGAAGAGCTCCCAAAAATGGGCAGACACAATATTCTCATCAGAGCTGGGGGGAGGGAGCCTTTGGCAAAGAAAACCGAGGGGGAGAGCCGCGCTGTGTGCCGAGAGGAGCCGGGGACTGCCGCCGAGCAATGCCCAGGCAGGGTTCGCAGGGCTGGGGAGGCTGGCCTGGGGTCCCCCTCACAGCCTCTCGCCTCTCCTTCATTATTTCCCCCCCAAAAAAGTTGCCCAGGGTTTCCCTTCCTGGCCCTAGAGCCAGAGCCGAGCCACCCACAGAGCCTTGGGAAGCCGGGATTGCACCCAGTTCTCCACCTCCTCTCTTGATAGGCCATGATAACTACCCTTGGCGTGACAATAGCCCCTCTTTTCTGCAGAGCTTAAAGTGCTTCCCCAAAGTGAGGAAGCGAACACACTCTTTGTGATGTGTGGTACAGCGCCTAGCATAATGGGGTCCTGGTCCATCACCAGTATATACAAGAATAATTCTTATCCCCATTTTTCAGATGCGGACACTGAGGCACTGAAGCGCCACGTGTCAGTATATAATGCCTGCATCTGTAACTTTCACTCTATGCATCCGAAGAAGTGAGGTTTTTACCCACGAAAGCTTATGCCCAAATAAATCTGTTAGTCTTTAAGGTGCCACCAGACTCCTTGTTGTTTCTCCACAGGGAGTCAGTGGCAATGTTGGGAATAGAACCCAGGTGGCCTGCCCCGTATTCCCCAGCTCTATTTGAAAAATGAGAAAATGCTGCCTGTTTTAGTCCTGATGAAAGACCCTTCTTGGCACTGTCCCAGCTTCTCTTACTGTTTGGAAAGATATAGTCAGAGTAATTTGCATCAATTTTAAAGTAATTTTCCCTGCATGGTTCTTCATTAGAACCTGCTTGGAAATTGGATAGAGAGTTGGGCCCTGGTTCTGCAAAGTCACTCCTGGCAAGCAAATCCGCAAGCCCATGCAAAGCCCCATCCACTTTTATTTATGCGTCACATGGGCACGGGGCCCCCCCCCAGTGCAGTTCCTTGCAGGATTGGGGCCACAGACTGAATCAGTTTCTCTCTATCTACATTTCCATCACTGCAATATCTGTGCCCTGTTATTCATTGGCTTTGTTATTTAGTATTTGTCTAGTGCAAAGAATGTGCTAGCTACTTCATAGGCAGGTTCTAAACCAGAACGTTGAGAATCACGGCAAGTTATGTTCAAAGGAGTAAAATTCTGTGCCCATCTGCAGCCACATGCTTCCAAATGGGTTCTTTCCTCTGTACAGGGCCACACATGCTGCTTTGCTACTGTTCACGGGTGTCCTGCTTACTGTCCACATGGGGTAGTTTTCAGAGGGGCATTCTTTGAGGGTGGGTGGGCATGGAGCAGGCAAGGTAGCATTAGTTTATTTTATAAGGTTTAAACAATTCCTTTGGGAAAGTCTCTGACCAAAGTAATTGCATGCACTTCACTGTGGCAGAGAGAAAGATAGGTTTCCATTTGCTCATTGGAGCATTTTCAATGTCTTTCTCAGGTTCTCAGCATGCTCACAGCTCCAGCTGTGGGATAGTGGACTGAGCATGGAGTTGGGAATCCAGAATGAATACAAAAGTGCTGGATAAGCACGAAATATTATTAGAACCCCATTCTGAGTATCAGCTCAGCTGCCACTTGATACGAAATGTTCTAATCCACGGGGCATCTTATTTTGTCAAAATATTTTTAAATCGCCTTTAAAATATGGCAATTGATCACTATGCAGTGGATATATTCCATCACATTTCTACTACTCCAGTCCCCCATCCAGCACTCCAGTCCAGCAATCCCTTCCTTAGGCAAGTGAGGATTTCAGGGATCAAGTACTACCTTTATAAGAACAAACCTGCCAGAATCTCAGTGTAAGGCTAGAGAAGACCTGGTTAGTCTGTAAATCGTAGAATCATAGCAATGTAGGACTGGAAGGGACTGTGCCAGGTCGTATAGTCCAGTCCCCTGCACTGAGGCAGGACTAGGCATTATCTAGATCATCCCTGACAGGTGTTTGTCCAACCTGTTCCTAAAGCCCCCCAGTGACGGAGCTTCCACAACCTCCCTAGGTAATTTGTTCCAGCGATTAACTATCCTTACTGCTAGGAAGTTTTCTCTAATGTCTAAGCTATATCTCCCTTGCTGCAATTTAAGCCCATTACTTCTTCTCCCGTCTTCAGTGGATAAGGAGAACAATTTATCACCCTCCTCTCTATAACAACCTTTTAGGTGTTTGAAGACTGGTATCATGTCCTCCCGTTAGTCTTCTCTTCTCCAAACTAAACAAACCCAGTTTTTTCAATCTTTCCTCACAGGTCATGTTTTCTCTGCACCTTTGCTCATTTTTGTTGCTCTCCTCTGGACTTTCTCCAGTTTGTCCACATCTTTCCCAAAGTGTGGTGCCCCAAACTGAACACAGTACTCCAGTTGAGGCCTTACCAGTCCTGAGTGAAAGAATTATTTGTCATGTCTTGCTTACAACGCTCCTGCTAATACATCCCAGAATGATGTTTGCTTTTTTTGCAACAGTAGTACGTTGTCCTTTACTTTTGTTGACTCATATTTAGTCTGTAACCACCAAGTCCTTTTCTGCAGTACTCCTTCCTGGACAGCCATTGTCCATTTTGTATCTGTGCAATTGATTGTTCCTTCCTAAGTGGAATACTTTGCATCTGTCCTTATTGAATTTCATCCTATTTATTTCAGACCATTTCTCCAATTTGTCAGGATCACTTTGAATTCTAATCCTGTCCTCTAAAGTGCTTATAACCCCACCCAGCTTGGTATCATCCACAGACTTTACAAGTATATCCTCTGTGCCATTATTCAAATCATGTATAAAGGTATCAAATAGAACCAGACCCAGGACAGATCCCTGTGGGGCCCCACTCATTATGCCCTTCCAGCTTGACTGTGAGCCATTGATAACTATTCTCTGAGTACCATTTTCCAACCAGTTGTGCACCCACCTTATAGTAGGTTAATCTGGGCTATATTTCCCTAGTTTGCTTCTCCGAAGGTTATGTGAGACAGTATCAAAAGCCGTACTAAAGTTGAGATAAATCACATCTGCTTCCCCCATCGCAAGGCTTGTTACCACGTCAAAGAAGGATATTAGGTTGGTTTGACATGATTTGTTCTTGACAAATGTGGACTCTTACTTATCACCTTACTATCTTCTGGATGCTTACAAAGTGATCGTTTGATTATTTGCTTCATTACCTTTCTGGGTACCAAAATTAAGCTAAGGTCTATAATTCCCTGGGTTGTCCTTATTCCCCTTTTTATAGCTAGGTACTATATTTGTCCTTTTCCAGTCTTCTGGGATCTCTCCTGTCCTCCATGAGTTCTCAGAGATAATTGCTAGTGGCTCAGAGATCTCTTCAGCCAGTTTCTTAAGTATTCTAGGATATATTTTGTCACGCTCTGCCAACTTGAAGACATCTAACTTGTCTAAGGCCAGGTCTACACTAAACAGTTAGTTTGACCCAACTATATCGCTCAGGGGTGTGAAAAATCAACACCCCAGAGTGATGTAATTAAGCTGACCCAACCCCTGGTGTAGACAGTGCTAGGTTGACAGAAGAATTCTTCCATTGACCTCTCTACTGTCTCGTGGGGAGGTGGATTGACTTCAGCGATGGAAGAACCCCTCCCGTAACTGCAGTGAGTGTCTACACTGAAGCGTTGCAGCAGCACAGTGCAGAGCCTCTAGTGAAGACATAACCTCAGTAATTCTTCACTTGTTCTTTCCCTCTGATCCTACCCCATTCACTGTGAGCCGTCCGGTCACTGCTACCCTTTTGGGGGAGAACTGAAACCAAAAAGTCATTTAACACTTTGTCCATTGCTGCGTTTTCTGTTATTGTCTTTCCCTCCTCATTGAGTAATGGGCCTGCCCTGTGCTTGAATCATAGACCCAGAAGGTAAGAAGGGACCACAAGGGTCATCTAGTCTAACCCCCTGCCAAGATGCAGGATTTGTTGTGTCTAAACCATCCAAGGCCGGTGACTATCCAGCCTCCTTTTGAAAACCTCCAGTGAAGGAGCTTCAACAACCTCGCAAGGCGTCTGCTCCATTGGCCGACTGTTCCTACAGTTAGGAAGATTTTCCTGAGATTTAATCGAAATCTGCTCTGCTGGAGTTTGAACCCAGGGCCTCTTGTCCTGCCCTCTGTGGCCTGGGCCTTCCTCTTGCTTCTCATGTGTTTGTAAAATGTTTTCTTGTTACCTTTTATG